TAAGCCCCTTGCCATATCTCCCTACATCCCTCGTTGCTGACAAACTCCCTGCTAAATAATATGTTCAATAAATGTTTGTGATGATTAATATAACTTACATTAGTTTTTTAAGTCTGCAGTGTACTTTTACACACATTATATTTTATACGGCCCTCCTAACATTCCTATAAGATAGGCAAAGTAGTAAAACTGTCTCAATTTTATAGATGAAAAAATCAGCCTTCCTGGGAACTGCAGAAGAGACCAGCTGTTTCCAGCTTGCCAGTTTCAACACAAAATCCTTTTCATCTCTGAAGAACAACACTATCCGAAGCGTAGCCCATGGACTGATGCTGGCCAGTGAACTGTTAGTTATCACTCTGCAACAAGATAAGCATAAGCTGAGAGTAAGCATGTAGAAACTTTTCTTTTAACCTCAGAGAGTAATTTTTTTGCCTGCTGAATCTAACAATAAAAAATATTGGGTTTGTATTTCTGTATATCTTTTTTAATCTTCCTTTTCTAGTAATTCATTTCACTGTATTGGCCCATGCTGTATCATAAAACAAAACAAAAAGCTGGTCCTCCCCTAGAGAAGGTTTGGAGAAGTATCTCTATAGAAGACAACACAGACCAAGGTGTGATCCGTGGATGGCACCTGAGACATTTAGTTTTGTCATTTTTCTTTGACTTGAAATCGGTGTTTCTCTAAGTGTTGTTTTAGATTACCTGTACCAGAATTACTACAGGTATTTATTTAAAATGCATCATCGCAGGGCACCTGGGTGACTCAGTTGGTCAGGCATCTGACTCTGGATTTCGGCTCAGGTCATGATCTCACAGTTCATAAGATCGAGCCCCGGCACTGGGCTCTGTGCTAATGGCGTGGAACCTGCTAGGGATTCTTTCTCTTTCTCTCTGCCCTTCCCAGGCTTGTGACTCTCTTGCTCTCTCAAAATAAATAAAAACTTAAAAGAGAGATTAAAAACTAAAAAATAAAATGCCTCTTCACAGGCCCATTTCAAAGTAATAAACTGGAATTTCCTAAGCAAAGGATCTGCATTTTGTTTTTCTTGCTGATTATTAGGCACTTTACAGTTTAAGAATGATTGGCCTAAACTTTCACAAAAGAAACAGGCCAGTAAGCAATTTAGGTTGTAAATTGCTAAGCAAGCCACATTTTTCCAATCTCCTCCAGAACTCATCTAGAAAACTCCATTTTTCTTTGTGCAAAATAGAACAAATATAGCGTTTCTGGAGGAATACTACTGGGATAACACTTGAAGGCAGAAACAAAACAAGTATTTTTCATGTTTCATCCCAGGGTGGATAAAACCCCACCCACAATGGGTGGAAGGAAAGAAGAGTTTTGAATGGTTGAGATTTTTCACCCTGCTCAGAAGATCTCCTAAGTGTATTTTGTACACACATGTTCGGGAGAGCCTCTTCCCAGATAAACCATTCATCACACAAATCTGAAAACAGTTGGGGGAAAGTGTATTTCAGTAGGATGAAAAGTAGCAAGGTGTGTTTGGGGGCAAAGAGGAAGGCAAAATAGGAGAACAACAGTTGAGTGATGGCTAATACCAAAACTGTGGATTAAGAACCATAGCAACAGTTTTTCACTTAATTCTCAGTACAGTCTGTATATCCCCCACACATCCTATGAATGAGGTAACGGAGACTCAGAAAGACTAAATAAACATGCCCAAGGTCACACACGACAGGAGAGTCACGGTTAAAACCTAGATCTAATTCCAGTGCCCAGGACATGTCCCTTCTACCACACCAGGGACGGCAAGGGGTGCCCGCTTCATTTCACTGATGGCGGTCGCCTGTAATGTTCCGTTCCATCACTGAAGACTTTTATTCAATTATTATCTTGCATAGGTACGTACATGCAAACAGCACCACACACACGAAGCATGTGTTTACCACACCCACACATTCATAAACAGACTAATAAAAGCCAGAGGCATTTGAATTCATGGTGAGAGTAACCACATTTCTACATTTTGAGGAAACAAGAGCTGGGAGGTGGTGGTGACAGGGAAACAGTGACCTACACGCCACTGGAAAATCTCCCAAGATTCTGGCCTCACAAAATTTTCTCCAGATATCCTTCAAGAATATTTACAGCTCTATCTACTAAATTAGTCATAGCGGAGAAGGGAGAATGCTGTAAGCAGCAGCCTAGCTACCTAGTTATCCCACAAAGAGCAGGCCTACTCAAATCTCCCAACGACAATCCGCGTACTTCAAAGGGACAGACACACTCATACGTGCAAATTCTATCTATCTCACCAGTGCCTCAGAGACCGGGGGCTTGTGCCTTCTCCGTGCAGCAGAACGAACAGCCATTTATCTGCCACCAAACCGGAAGCACACTGCACTTGCAGGCCCTGCCAAGCAATGGTCCTGTCCTGCACATCTTCAAGCTACCCAAGCCACCCAGGTGCAAACCAGAAAGCTAAGTTCCTTCCCAGCTACCTAATGCCTCCTATTGCCAATCACTCCTGGCAATTAACTCTGCACTTTCCCAGAACGTAACCTATTTCAGCTCCCAAAAGAAATTTACACACATATAAACCAAACTCTGAAACCGATTCCTCAGAAGGGGGTAAGAGCCCCTAAGGGATAACAAAATGGCTACACAACAGGTTTCATCTTAGATGCTACAAAGAGTGAAATTATCTCCAACTGTACCATTTCATTGGATCATTTTGTTTCTTTGTTTATTGAGAGAGTGAGATCTGTGCACAGGAGGGGAAGAGAGGGGCAGGGGGAGAGAGAGAATCTCAAGCAGGCTCGATGCTCAGTGCAGAGCCCGACATGGGGCTTGATCCCATGACCTCGGGATCATTACCTGAGCTGAAATCAAGAGTCGGATGCTCAACCAACTGAGCTACCTGGGCACCCCTCATTGGAGCACTTCAGAGACTGCTTCCACACAGTTCCAGTGGCAGCAATCTCTAGGATCCAGGAACTGGTGGAAGAGTAAAGGTGTGACCAAGCGCATCGATGTGGATGTCTATTAGCAATTGTCCATTAAGAGGAGATTTAAATTTTTTTTTTCAACGTTTATTTATTTTTGGGACAGAGAGAGACAGAGCATGAATGGGGGAGGGGCAGAGAGAGAGGGAGACACAGGATGGGAAAAAGGCCCCAGGCTCTGAGCCATCAGCCCAGAGCCCGATGCGGGGCTCGAACTCCCGGACCGCGAGATCGTGACCTGGCTGAAGTCGGACACTTAACCGACTGCGCCACCCAGGCGCCCCTAGAGGAGATTTAGATAACACAGAATCAAAAGAGACCACGCTACTCTCCCAATAGGATAGAAACACAACATATCTGACTCTAAAGTGCTTATTATACTAACGATATCTGGCAAACTGGAAATAAATCTGGCCAACCAGAGAAAACAATCTGACACAACTACAGAGATGCTGGCAGATAACTGCAAATATTCCTAAAGCTGCTGCAAAAGCATCAAGCTTAAAGAAAGGAGCTGGGGTTCAAAGAAAACTACAATTCCCTTTTATCAACTTCCTGCTGAGGCAAGACTCACTTCTCCAAATTAAAGCAGCAAGAATTATATACATATATGACATTGAATTAGAAACTGTCTTAGCTCTTCTTAGGTAGAACAGCATGGATCCGACTATTTAAAACTACAAACGACACCCAAACTCGTTTTTTTTTTAAAGATTTTATTTTTAAGTAATCTCTACTCAACACGGAGCTCAAACTCACAACCCTGAAATCAAGAATCACATGCTCCTCCAACTAAGCCAGCCAGGCGCACTCCACTACGTGGTTTTGTTTTGTTTTGTTTTGTTTCTGCTTTCTGTTTTTATTTTGTTTTTGCATTTGCTTATTGTCGGTTTTCTCCCTCCACTGAATTTTAAAGTCTGTGGAGTGAAAGACTGGTCTACATTATTCACTGCTACGTCACCTACTGTCAGGTAAGTTAAAAATCCCCCAAAAGGGAGGCCTGGGTGCCTCAGTTGGTTAAGCGTATAACTCGATTTTGGCTCAGGTCGTGTTCTCACAGTTTGTGGGATCGAGCCCCACATAAGGCTCTGCATTGTCAGGGCAGAGCCTGCTTAGGATTCTCTCTCCATCTTTCTCTCTGCCCCTTCCCCGCTCACTCGCGGGTGCACGCACGCTCGCTCTCCCCCCGCCTCCCCCCAAAAAAACACTGAAAAGAAAAAAAGAAAAAGAACTGCTGGGGATGGGGACTAGCAGTAGTGTTTTAACAAGCCCTCCTGGTGACTATGTACACTAAAGCATGCGAACCACTGTCCTGGGCATCAGCAGAAAAGTTCATGTCAGAGAAACTGGATTCCTGAGCTTACCACATGAAGCAATACAGCAACAAGAACCCTACACGAAAGAGATACTTTGTATCTTGTTTGAGCCATCCTATTTGGGGGGGGGGGGGGTCTTTGTTGCAGTTATCGTGCACACTCTCCTGGCTCACAAAACTTTTTGGTCTCAGGATCCCTTTAAGAGGACACTTAAAAATCAGTGGCTCCAGGGGCGCCTGGGTGGCTCAGCCAGTTGAGCTCAGGTCATGATCTTGCAGTTCGTGGGTTCAAGTCCCGCATCGGGCTCTGTGCTGACAGCTCGGAGCCTGGAGCCTGCTTCGGATTCTGTGTCTCCCCCTCTCTCTCTGCCCCTCCCCCACTTGTGCTCTGTCTCTGTCTCTCAAAAATAAATAAATGTAAAAAAAAAAAAAAAAAAAAATCAGTGGCTCCAAAGAGATTCTGCTTGTGGCTAGAGCTATCAACAGTCACTATATTAGAAATTAAAACAGAATTTAAAAAATGTTAGTTCATTAAAAAAAAAAAAGCCCACATTCCAAGTTAACATGAGTGACATATCCTTTATAAGAAAAAACAACAACTATTTTCTCAAAAAAGAGAACAGTACAGTGAGAAGAGTGGCACTGTTTCACATTTTTTGCAAATCTCATTAATGTCTGGCTTCATTAACCCCAGACAGCTGGGTTCCCATACCTGCTTCCACATTCAGTCTGCAGCCCGACACTGCTCTTGTGGATCTCCAACATCTCTCCTCCTAACTGTGACAGTTTTTATTCTTTCTTCACATTCACACTTTTGCAGCCAGCCCTTTTGTAAAATGCCCCCAAATTTGGGTTAATGTGATGTTTTCTCATTAGATTGAAGTTACGTATTTTTGACAAAAATAGCACAAAAGCAATACTGTACCCTTCTCAGTGTATCCTCTCAGCAAGCACATGATGTCAACATGTTGCATTATGATGACGTTAACTGTAATCACTTGATGGCGGTGGGGTCTGACAGGTTTCTCCACTGAACGTTACTCTGAAGAGATACTCTGAGGCTACGCAAAATCTCATTTTACATCCAACTTCCACCGACTAACTTTAGCATTCACAGACAATTCTTGCCTGTAACAATTATTAGTATCTGCCTAATGTTTCCATCATTCCTTCTATGTTTATTAATTTGAATTTTACTATAATACATGGCTGTCTCGTATTTATTTATTCAAATATTTATTTGCAGCACCATGGGCTTACGGATATTTATTTCATCCCATGGGTTATAATCTGTTACTATCATTACTTATTTTGTTCTTCAAATTGTCCCAGATCCGGTGTTGAAAGCTCCTTCAAGTTGGTACACCATTTTGTTTGTTTGTTTGTTTTAGCATTTCATTCTCTTCTGGTAGCCACGTCATGTTTCAGGTCCAAAGGACGTTTTTCCTTTGCCCTGAGTCACTTCTCCAAGGAACTCAAGTTTCTTCCCCCAGACAAGAGCATTTAGAAAACAAGACCTGGTGTCACATGTGCTCATTGCTATGGTGGCGTAACTGCTTCCAAGTCCTCTCAGAAAAAGGAAATCCGTGTACACGCACAAGCACACACACATCTATTTCTATCTCTGTATGTGCACACGTGTACATGAACAGGTGTATAAATTAAAACTTACGAGTTCATACTGATACCAGAGAAGGGTATTCTAGCAATCTTTTCAAATGATCAGAACTGTGGATTCCTTCATCTTTGATATACTCAAAGCTCGATAGATGCAGACAAAGGACTTGAACAAGAAGATATATTAATGGCTAATAAGCACATGCAAAGATCATTAGTCATTAGAGAAATGCAAATTAAGACCACAATGAGGTACCAACTCACACCCATTAAGATGGCTGTAATAAAAAGGGCAGGAAATAGTAAGCGTTGAGGATGTGGAGAAACTGGAATCCTAGAACTGTACATTGCTGGTAGGAACATAAAATGGTACAGTTGCTTTGGAAAATGGCTTGGTGGTTCTTCAAAAAGTTAGAATTATCACATGACTCAGCAACTCCATTTATATAGGTAAATATCCAAAAGAACTGAAAACAGGGATTCGGTCAAAAACGTATAGAAAAATGTGTATAGCAGTAATATTTACAGTAGCCAAAAAGGTAGAAAAAACTGTAATGTCCATCAACTGATGCACGGGCAAGCCAAATGTGGTATATTCCTGAAGTGGAATGTTACTCAGATGTGAAAAGGAATGAAGTACTGATAAACACTACAACATGAATGAACCTCAAGAACATGCTACGTGAAAGGAACCAGACACGAAAGGTCACATGTGTCCTAGGATTCCATGGGTGTAAAATATCCAGAACAGATACTCCATCAAGATAGGAAGCACATTAGTGGTTGCCAGATGCTGAGGGAAGGAGAAATGGGTAGTGATGGCTTAGTGGGTACAGGTTTCCTTTTGGGGTGATGAAACTGTTGTGGGATTTGATTTAGGTGGTAGTTGCCCAACACTGCAATTGTGTTAAATGCCACTGAATCATACAAGTTAAAATGGTTAATTCTATGTTATGTGACTTTTACCTCAATTAACAAAACCGTTTCCAAGGGTTAGTTGCAATTTGAAATCTGAAACCTTATCAATGAACTTTTCACACTGTAACATTAAAATCCATTGGTCCATCTTATCTCACACTTTGAATAGATCTTTTACCCACACGTGATTTTGTTACATCATGCATTTGTCATTTGGAAAAATTCTGGTCCACTAAGTCATTACATTTCAAGTGCTGACATATTTCATTATACAATATAAAAACGAATCATACTGGGTAATGTCACCAACTGATCTCATCATAAAAGTAAGTTCTGAGCTGTCAAACTCTGGTTTAATTTTTATTCTGCTTTTATCACCGGGCACAAATATAATCAAGTTGTTCTTGTAAGTTTTCAAGACTGTCTGTCAAATACCCAAGTCTACAGACCACAGTGCGTTGATTATTCTTTCATCAAGTAGGAACGGTTCTACGAAGAAAGCAGCTAGTTAGCCTGCGACTCGACTGTCCTTTTCCTTGAGACCACTGTAGTTCAGTACACAGCAAAAGTGCTTCATGAGCATTTCCCACCTTATCACACAAAATATTCAAAAGCCATGTTCTGAAAGGTCAAGATAAAGTAAAGTTTATTTCCACTCCATCAAAATACTCTTCAAGTGAAACTGCATCTTTCTTTTTAAACTGCAAGTTTAAACTGTACAGCAGTGAAGAATACAATGAACATTAGTATAGTTTCGTGCCACTGCTCCGATTCATGCAAAGGCACCAGCAGTTTTACTGACCACTGCTTCTGGATCATCAGTGCAAATGTCAACACAGTGAAAAAGGCAAAATCAAACAAACACACAAAAAAAGCCTTTGTATTACTAGAAAACAGTTTTGATCTCAAGACTCTCTGAAACGCTCTCAGGAATCCCAAGGAATCCACAGACCACACTCTGACAACTAATACACATGTTTAATAAAGAAACCTACCAATTCATGTATTTTCCAGATTTTTAAAAATGTAAGCTCTATGCCCAACGTGGGGCTCAAACTCACAACCCCAAGGTCAAGAGTTGCATGTTCCACCAACTGAGCCAGCCCGGCGCCCCTATCTTCCAGGTTCAATGCAAACTACTTGGTGGCAAAGCCTTCTTGTCTGTACTCTAATACCACCACATGAAATGCCCCAATACTATTACCTAACCAACTCCAAACGTTACTTTCCTTTACCTTAATTCATATCAGCTATGTCAACGTATCTTCCTTCTGCTATCCGCCAGGCTACAAAATCCCATACCAAAAACCCACTCCTTCTAGTTCATTTAAGTTTAGTCAATTTTAATTACCTCCCTTTGGATTTCTAGAACTTCCTTCCTGGCTCACTTTTCTAGGAAAAGTGATCTAGACCTAGACCACGGGTCTGCAAGCTTCTTCTGTCAAGGGCCAGATAATAAATACTTAATTTATTTATTAAAAAAATTTTTTTAATGTTTACTTATGAGAGACAGATAAAGAGCAGGAGTGGGGGGAGGGGTGGAGAGAAAGAGGGAGACACACAATTGGAAGCAGGCTCCGTGCTCCAAGCTGTCAGCACAGATTCCCACCTGGGGCTCGTACTCAACCCACGAGTTCATGACCTGAGCCGAAGTCGGATGCTTAATCAACTGAGCCACTCAGGCTCCACTTTAAAAAAATTTTTTTAATGTTTATTTATTTTTGAGAGAGAGAGACAGAGAGACAGAGAGAGAGCGTGCAGAGGGGAGGGGCAGAGAGAGAGAGAGGGAGACACAGAATCCAAAACAGACTCCAGGCTCTGAGTTGTCAGCACGGAGCTTGACGTGGGGCTCAAACTCATGAACCAAGAGATCAGGACCTGAGTCAAAGTTGGACACTTAACCCACTGAGCCCCTCAGGCACCCCAGATAGTAAATATTTTACAGACTTTGTGGGCCATCTATTCAATTCCCTTGTTGTAAGGAAATATGTGTGGCTGTGTTCCAATAAAACTTTATTTACAAAAACAATCAGTAGTTTGCTGACTTCTGATCTAAACTCTTCCAACGTGTAGGTCGATAAACCCACTCTTAATCAAAATACATCACGAAAATAAAAAGTAGCGGTAGCCACAGACTGGCTAAAAGAAACTAGTAAGAGCACTGAAAACAGCAGTAAACCCAACAGACAGAATATCAGTAACAGTTGTTAACATTCACTGAGCTCTTATTGGCTAAGCTCTAAAGTGCTTTATAATACCTTATCTCATTTAAGCCCTTTATAGGAGAGTTTTAAATTTTAATAATTATCCTTTTACAGAAAACAGATAAACTACATAACTTTCCAAGGTCTCACAGTCTGTAAATAGTTAAGCCTAATTCAAACACAAAGGTCTCTCTTACTTCAATGGCCATTTTTTTTTCCTTTTTAACATTGATTTATTTTTGAGAGACAGAGAGAGAGAGAGAGAGAGAGCATGGGCAGGGGAGGGGGAGAGAGAGAGAGAGAGAGAGGGAGACACAGTATCTGAAGCAGGCTCCAGTCTCTGAGCTCTTTGTTAGCACAGAGCCCGATGCAGGGTTCAAACCCACTATGCAAGACCATGACCTGAGCTGAAGTCGGATGCTCAACTGACTGAGCCAAGGTCCATATTCTTAATCATCATATTATGTAGTATCTATCTATACTGGCATTTTTGGTTTTTTGATCCAAACTGGTAAGACAGTTATTCTGAATAAGAACGCAAAGACGGTTGCTATTTACTTGCTCTTACAGCGTTTCTTCTGTTTCACTGAGTTTACCACATTAACTGTGTTACCACATTAACTACCACATTAACTTCACTGAATGCAAGAACTTAGGTGATCCAGCTTTAGGTGACAGTGTTCAGTTACTGCACACCAAGGATCATAAAGGCCTCTATGCTTAAATATGACAAGTTAGGGTGTGTTGCCTAAAAGCCTAATGAATAGGAGGTAAGCAATCCTCCCCCCCCACCCTCTTATAATAAGTCAGAATAAAATAATAATAGTTATGCTAGCACATAGTATAATAAATCAGTACAAGAGTTCTGACATATAAAGAAAATTCTGCCAGACATCACTTAAAACAAGTGATAGAGACAGAGATGGTCAAAGGACAGATTCCACGCATCCTTCAAAACGACTCTTCATCCACTCCTAAACAATAACTAGGGCCTATGAGAAGAAACACAAAGTCTGTCCATTAATAGAATGTATTAACTTATGCCTCACTGATTATAACTACCTAATCGTAAGATTATCCCTACTAATCTGCTTCCAGGCACCAGGAAAAAAGTTAGAAATAAAAGGCTGCAAAAGATCTTTTTTAAAACCTATCGGTCCAATAAGCAAGCATCACAATACAGACAGGATGTTAGAGATGATGGTAAGGGGTGAAATAAACTTTACATCTTCACTTCTCTTTATATTTAATATAAACCAATGTAAGAGGTAAACATAACACCACACATACACACATGTAAAATGGTTATTCCCCATGGAAAAAAACATTACCAAATAGAATTTAAAAATAGCATCAACTTAAAAAGGTAATTATTATTTCTAAGAACCAGGGAATCTCACAACTCTGAATCTTTGGTCTCGAGGTTTGAGCTAGGCTGGTCTGATACTGTTTTGTCTCCCAGGATTCAACCGACTGGGAAACAATCTCCCTTAACTCATTTATAAAGGAAAAGAAAAAGAGTGGCCCCAGCTATCTGGGGGGAATATAACTGGGGGCAGCCTAGGAAATGAGCTCAGGCCAGCTGCTCTGGTAAATCCCACCCAGCAACCCTTAAAGAAAGTATAACCTCAGGGCGCCTGAGTGGCTCAGTCTGTTAAGCATCCCCATCCGACTTCGACTCAGGTCAATGATCTCCCGGTTGAGCCCCACATCGGGCTCTCTGCTCTCAGTGTGGAGACTGCTTTGGATCGTCTGTCTCTGTCTTGCTCACTGCCCTTCCCCTGTTTGTGTTCTCTCTCTCAAAAAATAAACATTAAAAGATAAGACACAAAAAAGTATAACCTCATATGCACGTCTTTTTGTGTTTTTGAATGTTTATTATTTTGATTTTGAGAAAGAGAGAGAGAGACAGAGTGTGAGCAGGGTAGGGCCAGAAAGAGAGGGAGACACAGAATCTGAAGCAGGCTCCAGGCTCAGAGCTGTCAGCACAGAGCCCAACGCGGGGCTCGAACTCATAAGCTGTGAGA